CTCTGTGCCCGTCCCACGCAGATCAGGGGTTGAAAACCGGCTGTCTAGGGGCTGTTTCTAGCTGCGCGTGCCCAGAGAGGAACCCAGGCCCTTGGGGGCGGGCTGTACCTGTTGGAATTGGAGCCGTTCAGCTTTGTTGCCCAGAGCTGGGCCTCTGTGCCCGTCCCACGCAGATCAGGGGTTGAAAACCGGCTGTCTAGGGGCTGTTTCTAGCTGCGCGTGCCCAGAGAGGAACCCAGGCCCTTGGGGGCGGGCTGTACCTGTTGGAATTGGAGCCGTTCAGCTTTGTTGCCCAGAGCTGGGCCTCTGTGCCCGTCCCACGCAGATCAGGGGTTGAAAACCGGCTGTCTAGGGGCTGTTTCTAGCTGCGCGTGCCCAGAGAGGAACCCAGGCCCTTGGGGGCGGGCTGTACCTGTTGGAATTGGAGCCGTTCAGCTTTGTTGCCCAGAGCTGGGCCTCTGTGCCCGTCCCACGCAGATCAGGGGTTGAAAACCGGCTGTCTAGGGGCTGTTTCTAGCTGCGCGTGCCCAGAGAGGAACCCAGGCCCTTGGGGGCGGGCTGTACCTGTTGGAATTGGAGCCGTTCAGCTTTGTTGCCCAGAGCTGGGCCTCTGTGCCCGTCCCACGCAGATCAGGGGTTGAAAACCGGCTGTCTAGGGGCTGTTTCTAGCTGCGCGTGCCCAGAGAGGAACCCAGGCCCTTGGGGGCGGGCTGTACCTGTTGGAATTGGAGCCGTTCAGCTTTGTTGCCCAGAGCTGGGCCTCTGTGCCCGTCCCACGCAGATCAGGGGTTGAAAACCGGCTGTCTAGGGGCTGTTTCTAGCTGCGCGTGCCCAGAGAGGAACCCAGGCCCTTGGGGGCGGGCTGTACCTGTTGGAATTGGAGCCGTTCAGCTTTGTTGCCCAGAGCTGGGCCTCTGTGCCCGTCCCACGCAGATCAGGGGTTGAAAACCGGCTGTCTAGGGGCTGTTTCTAGCTGCGCGTGCCCAGAGAGGAACCCAGGCCCTTGGGGGCGGGCTGTACCTGTTGGAATTGGAGCCGTTCAGCTTTGTTGCCCAGAGCTGGGCCTCTGTGCCCGTCCCACGCAGATCAGGGGTTGAAAACCGGCTGTCTAGGGGCTGTTTCTAGCTGCGCGTGCCCAGAGAGGAACCCAGGCCCTTGGGGGCGGGCTGTACCTGTTGGAATTGGAGCCGTTCAGCTTTGTTGCCCAGAGCTGGGCCTCTGTGCCCGTCCCACGCAGATCAGGGGTTGAAAACCGGCTGTCTAGGGGCTGTTTCTAGCTGCGCGTGCCCAGAGAGGAACCCAGGCCCTTGGGGGCGGGCTGTACCTGTTGGAATTGGAGCCGTTCAGCTTTGTTGCCCAGAGCTGGGCCTCTGTGCCCGTCCCACGCAGATCAGGGGTTGAAAACCGGCTGTCTAGGGGCTGTTTCTAGCTGCGCGTGCCCAGAGAGGAACCCAGGCCCTTGGGGGCGGGCTGTACCTGTTGGAATTGGAGCCGTTCAGCTTTGTTGCCCAGAGCTGGGCCTCTGTGCCCGTCCCACGCAGATCAGGGGTTGAAAACCGGCTGTCTAGGGGCTGTTTCTAGCTGCGCGTGCCCAGAGAGGAACCCAGGCCCTTGGGGGCGGGCTGTACCTGTTGGAATTGGAGCCGTTCAGCTTTGTTGCCCAGAGCTGGGCCTCTGTGCCCGTCCCACGCAGATCAGGGGTTGAAAACCGGCTGTCTAGGGGCTGTTTCTAGCTGCGCGTGCCCAGAGAGGAACCCAGGCCCTTGGGGGCGGGCTGTACCTGTTGGAATTGGAGCCGTTCAGCTTTGTTGCCCAGAGCTGGGCCTCTGTGCCCGTCCCACGCAGATCAGGGGTTGAAAACCGGCTGTCTAGGGGCTGTTTCTAGCTGCGCGTGCCCAGAGAGGAACCCAGGCCCTTGGGGGCGGGCTGTACCTGTTGGAATTGGAGCCGTTCAGCTTTGTTGCCCAGAGCTGGGCCTCTGTGCCCGTCCCACGCAGATCAGGGGTTGAAAACCGGCTGTCTAGGGGCTGTTTCTAGCTGCGCGTGCCCAGAGAGGAACCCAGGCCCTTGGGGGCGGGCTGTACCTGTTGGAATTGGAGCCGTTCAGCTTTGTTGCCCAGAGCTGGGCCTCTGTGCCCGTCCCACGCAGATCAGGGGTTGAAAACCGGCTGTCTAGGGGCTGTTTCTAGCTGCGCGTGCCCAGAGAGGAACCCAGGCCCTTGGGGGCGGGCTGTACCTGTTGGAATTGGAGCCGTTCAGCTTTGTTGCCCAGAGCTGGGCCTCTGTGCCTGTCCCACGCGGATCAGGGGTTGAAAACCGGCTGTCTAGGGGCTGTTTCTAGCTGCGCGTGCCCAGAGAGGAACCCAGGCCCTTGGGGGCGGGCTGTACCTGTTGGAATTCTAGACACTTGTTTTAAGACAGCTTTATTCATCAGCTATTTACTGAGTGCACTTTATCCAGAGTACCATTCTGACCTCAGAGGAATATATAATAAAGGCTTGGACACAGAAATCTTTGACCCCAAACAATTTGCAGTCTTCACACTGAGAGAATGAGTGAACATTATATGTGGTGTTTGTATAATATGTTACTTCGTGGCTTCAATACAAAACAAATTTAGCCTACTGAAACTAAAGAACATGGACTTTACTCTTTACAGATAGTTACTGTGGGCTACTACGTAACTCTACAATTCTTGAACCAAAGACCAACATCTCATTTCTCTTCATAACTTCTTTTGGATTTGATGGCAAATGAATGAATATGTAATTACTTATTATTATTTTATTATTCATTTATTTTAAAAGTAATTGAATGTTATTTCTATTTCCTCACAAATTTTTCTCTCAGAAACTGGTTCATCTTTTTATTTGTTATATGTTATTATATTTTATAGAACCATATGCTTATGTTGGGATACTGTTTCACACCTCTTAAAAATGTTACCACATAACCATACACATAATAATAATATTAAAATAATACCTTGTGTTACTTTTTCTTTTAATAACTTGTCTCATTAGTAGACTTCTTCAAGGATTATCTACAAATATGCCACACAAAATTATGTTATACTGTGGCTATTTATATGGCTTTGCTCTTTCTCATGTTCAGTCCTATCTAGAAAAGCACCTTGAAGAAAGAAGCTGCTGCTGTGTCTTATTACCTCATTTAGCACAACTATTTTAATCTATATATGTCTCTGACTTACTATTTTTGAATGAACAAAGAGAGAAAAAATAGATGTAAAATATAAGGTCTTAAGGGACAAGCAGAAGAAATGAATCTGGGATGAGAAAACTTGTCTGAAAATTCTGTTAATTATAGCACGAGTAAGGGATCTACTGTGAATGAAAGCACACACTTAATTCTAAGTAAAAAGTGGTTTCACCAAAACACGAAAAATTTGTGTTTGTATCCTAAGAGACCCTTCTTTACTTCAAGGACAACATAGAAGGCCTTTGAGGGGAGATATGCCATTATTTTACCTTTGATTTGGGTGCATAAACATAATTCTCATGACATAAATAGATGAGTGTGTGAGGAGAACCAAGCTTTAGACAAATTAGTGAAGAAATCATTATAAGTGTAGAAATGATCAACAATGAAGAGCAGCCTTGTGTTAGGGACATATCTAATGAGTCTGAAACATTTTAGATCTGAAAATATTGCAACCAGAAACTTCTTCAGCATTGACAAGAATCAAGAGAGAACAATTCTAGATCTTTGAGATTTTCACCTCCTATAACTGTATGAGCATACTTTTTAGAAAGTAGTGCTTGCCAAATTCCTTATTATTCATGCCCATGTGCATAATAAATCACCAAATTTTAATAAACAATTAATAAGCCTTGAAATTGTCCTCTAAATAACACACTCTGGATGGCTATAATCAATTTGATTTATACCACGATCCCTGTAGTGTTCCATGTACTACAGCCCTATCATGATCACAAAGTCCCTTTAGAAGAGCACTTTACGGCACAGTTGTGTACAATCAGCATTTTGAAGACAAAGCCTTCACATTTTAATTATAATGGATATCATAGCCCTCAACACTGTTTGTACATTCATTATCATAGATGCTTGACAGGATATTAGAAATGTTTAAATCAATGAATTAATCATCAGCACTGATTGGCAGATGCCATTCTTAGTGTATGCTTAACATGGGGAGAGTTGGCTGCTTATGAATAAATTCTATTTTTTCTTTTCATAGGAAACAAATGAATATACTATATACTGTTTTCAAATCTGTGATCAGCTAATGTATTGTTATAGTTGAGTGATAAAATCTGATACAGAATTTCAAGAATTTCATTTCTACAAATTATTATTAGATGATGTATCTGCTGTTGTATAATTTTGTTTGAATCTCTAAAGCCTCACTAAATATATACATATATTCTTTTCTCCTTTCTTTCTTCCATTTTTCTGATCTGCTTCCATTGATGACTCTAAACTTTTGACTCCAGACTGGCAATATGAGGGTAAGATGACAAAAATAAAACCCCAAACAACCTCATGAGCATTGCTTGTCTGTCTTTGTTTTATTCTCCTTAGAACATTATTAAAATTCTATTCACTGTCTTTAATTAGACCCTTCATCACAATTAAAGTCCAATTATGTTTGTTTCTGTTGTGAAGATTTAATTACAATTTATCCTTGTTAATCATTCCTTTATGTTATTTCTTTGGGTTAAATTATCATCCCATTATCTCTGTCCTGAAGGACTTATACTCTCCTGTGATCTCTGCTGGTGTTTTCTCAGTAAGATTTCCATAGTTTGGTGGTATAAAAAGTACTGCTTTATGATGTGGTAAGGAATCAATGTGTTTCTTATAAAAATAATAACTTAAAAATTGTTCTAATAAATCATGAATATTAATTTGATTCAAGAGATTTTCTTTTTAAAATTCAATATACATGCCAATGAATTTATTCTCACAATTGAATACCACAGAAGTTGTTCTTACTTTTGGTTGTTTTCTCTCTTTAGATTGTAAACTAGCTAGGGGAGGACCACCTGCTACCATAGTTGCTATTGATGAAGAGAGTCGGAATGGTAAGTGAATACTTATGTCTTACAAATAACTAGTCTGAGAGGTATTTCATTTTAATTTTATCATTTGGTTTGTTATATATGGACTACTGAATGAAAACTTCAAACTGATGCCACAAAGAGCTTTCTTTTAAGTCTTCCCTTATGAATTTAAAGTAGGCCATTGTCTGGAAAAGTTTTAATTGTCTTCATTATGAAACACACTTCATTGACAACGATTGCTTAGTTTTTATTGCCAAAGAGGCATTTAACTCAAAATTGGTTCAAGAATATGCTGGATATGGTCTGGAATTTTTCTTTGCCAATAGATGGGTTCATTATTACACATATAGTTACATAGTCATCTAAATGGCAGTCATTGTTTTCTTTTACAAATAAAGTTGATCTTAAGTCAGGTTTTAATTGTTAATTTAAAATGGTGGTAATCTTTCAAAAATGATAAATTATAACCTAGTAGACACAGCTATTTGGGAATAGATCTTTTTAAAAAATGAAAATATTTATTAATGAAGAACCTGAAAGTCTATTGCATTGGAAGAGGTTTTCAAGATTGCCTGAAATGGTAATCAAATGAAACACTCTGCCTGTCATAATTAACAATAAATGACTATATTACATTTTTAAAGAGAGAGTTTCCTTATAAAAATCAAAAATAAACATGAGTTTGAGTATAATTTTTAGTTTGTAAACCCTAGAATTTAAATATTTTAAAGTTAATGATAGAATGGTGATGATATAGTAAATTTTGGTTGATTTCTTTGAAAACTAGTATGAAAATTAGTAATATAACTCAAGATTTCTTTGGTATTATATTCATTTATTTAACAGTTTAAATAGGTTTGCTTGTGCTGAGGGCTGTAATCTCAGGTCTCATGCTGCCTTCCTATGTACACGTCATTGGCTGAGGTCTACTGTCTGGGTCACTGAGGCTCCCATATGCCTGCCTTGCAATATCTGTTGTTCAACAGTTTTCTGTTCATTTGGCTTTTACTTTATTCTCTGGTGACTGCACAAAAAAGGAACTGCTGCATTTTTTGCCAGACAAAGGTATAGGGTCAGAAAGGACTCTCATTTCTTTCTGATGCTCTGGAAGCAAGTATAGGGTCAAAGAGAAGTTGCCTGTCCTGTACCGTCTTTTATATCTTAGTTATTACTGCCCAGAGTTATTCCTGATGCCCAAATGGTTTTCCCCAGTTGAATCAGTTTTGTCAATTTAATTGAAACTCAGCTCTACTTGTATAGTAACAGTAATTTTTTGAGGCTTGTTTTCCATTTCAAATTCTATGTGAAAATGGACTCAGTTGATTATTTCATCTACTATTTCAGTACTAATCCTTCTGCTGGGATTATTTGATTGATATTGTGTTTGTTTCTTTGAAAAATTGGCATAAACTGTTTTTTTCTTGCACATACTTTTGAATGAGTCAAAGTATCATTAGTATTGCTCTCCGCTGGTTAGTCTCTATTTGAAATTTTAGAGTCGTTAAAAAATTGCAAAACTTTAAGGGTTTGATTATTTTTAAAGCTCAATTCTTAATGAACACAAAATTATTTCAAATAAATAAGCTTTGATGCCTTTATATAAATTACAAGGAAATCATATGTATTAGCAGAGAAGAAACTACATATGGACATATTATAGCACTGCACTGTAGCACTGTCCTCCCGTTGTTCATTGATTTGCTTAGTGGACACCAGTAACATCTCCATTGTGAGACGTTACCATTTTACTGTTGTTGTTACTGTTTTTGGAGTATCGAATATGCCACAGGGAACTTGGGAGGCTCTGCCATGTGGGCTGGATACTCTCGGTTTCTTGCCGGGCTCTCTGAGAGGGACGGAGGAAGTGAACCCGGATCGGCCGCATTCAAGGCCGCATACAGCCCTACTAGCTGTGCTATCACTCCAGCCCATAGACGTACTATAACAGGAAAGTTTTGCCTCATGTAAAATTATGATTTACTTGTCATTAATAATTTCTATAAATTAAATTTTATTAATATTATATAATGAATCCATTTTTATTTTTGAACAAACTAATAAATATTTTAAATGACTTAAAATAATCTATATGACTTTTAAACCATTTGAAAATGAACCATTTTTAAATCTATATGACTTGTAAACCATCTATATGACTTGTAAACCATTTGAAAAGCCCAACACAACTAAAACAGTTATGCTAAGTAATTTTATTTTATTATGATTCAAGACAGAGCTTACTTTGTCAACCAAATATAGCCACAGTAGCAATATGTTTTTAATCTCTCTTTGTGTTGATTAGACTTCACTTTTTAAGGAGCTTAAGAACTCCACAAAGAATTTGCTAAAGCAGTGTTATATGGTGACATGTGGTGAAATTTCAATATTTGTGTTTTAGAAGAATGTAACGTGATACAGTGTAGTGATGTTGTATTCTTTAATTGATATATTTTGTAGAAAGTGCCAACTGCTCAGAATACTGCCAAAATTACTAGAGTGTTATCACAAGAGATATAAATACCAATCTAGAGACTAATGTTTCACATCTTTCCTTTAAATTACATTTCTAAAAATATGGTAATCAAATGAAACACTCTGCCAGATATTATAATGTAGTGTGTAATCATCCTTGTCTCAAAAGTCAAGAAAACAATCCATGAAAATGTTGTTCATGTTTTCTTTAGGTAATCCAAGAAATCTTCCAATAATAGTACATTTTAACCTGCTGCTAACTTATTATTTCTTTACTCCTTCATCTTTTAATTGGCTGTATGAAAACATATGTATATCTAAGCACTCATTTTTGGTGGGGTGTCTTAAAAGTAAGGTATAGACAGCCATCAAAAAGCTCTTTAGCTATTATTTTTTATATTTATTTATTTATTGAATCACTGTGGTAAAAGTTACAAAGCTTTCAGGTTTAAGTCTCGGTCATGCAATGATCAAACACCTTTCCCTTCATCAGTACTTATTTTTCACCACCAAGAACCCCAATATACCCTCCTCTCACCCCTCCCAATGCCTGTGAGGCAGATTAATTCTACTTAACACTCTATCTACTTTCATTACATTCATTATTTTGAAGAAAGATGCACCATTATTGTTTAGAGTTTACACTCAACAATCAGAACTGCTGAAAAGGCATTGTGAAATAATTTGTTTTCTATAGCTGGTTATGAGAACCATATGATGTCATGCAGCCGTGATAGCAGCCGTGTGATTTTGGATTTCTGATATTTTATTTATTAAGCCTGGAGGTATTTCTGCTAAGAGCCAGATAATTAAGAGATTGATTTCTGTGGCTCTAGAGCCATGGCCATGCAGGAGAGTCGCTCGCAGGGGGCAACACATGACGTCGGTAGGGCTTGAAGGACGAGCTGGGAACACCCCCTTTCCCATGAGGTTTCAGTTGCCCTGTCACCGCCGGCTCATACCTGGCTTTCCAAAAAGCTCCAAGGTGGCCACCATATTGCTGCCAGGGGGAAAGAGGCGGAAGAGAATGACACCCCTTCCCTCCTGGGGAGGCATGGTACCATGGATTAACGCATAGTCCATTCGCTTTTCTGCCGCAAGGTTGCCGGGCTCTGCATTACTTAAGCTATTATTTGTTTAGTATTCGAATATATCTTTCAAATAGGCTGCTTACAGGGAAACAGATTGAGAATATATCTGGTTCACTAATACAGAAATGACTAAAAATTCTTTCTGTACTATAGATACACACACACACACATACTCACACGCAATCTGCACAAGGATGATTATAACAACTTCATTAGTAATTTTTGAAACTTGGAAATTACCAAAATCTTTCACATAAAAATAAATGAAGAAGTAAACAAGTATATATCTGGACATTAAAATATTATTTAGTACTGAAAAAGTAAGTGAACCATGAATCCCCAAAAAAGATGAGAATCTTGAATATATGTGGCAGAGTAAAAGAAGGCAATCTTAAAATGTCATATGCTATATAATTCCACTTATATAAAATTCTGGAAAAGACAAAACTGCAATGACCAAAAGAATCAGTAGTTTCTATGTTGTGGGTGAGAAAGAGAAAAATAGAGGATTGGGGCTGGAGAGATAATACATTTGGTAGGTTTGTCTTGTGCATGACTGACCCAAGTTTTATCCTCAACATTCTATGTTGTGTGACCCCAAAGTTCTGCCAAGAGTAATCCCTGTGCATAGAGCTAGGAAAAGTGCCTGAGCCCTGCTGAATATATCCCAGGAAACAAAAAACAAAACAAAACCAAAAAAACAAAACTGAACAAAAGAACCCAGATTGGACCAGGTTTGTAGCTCTGCAGTGATTTCCTAGCATGTGTGAAGCCATGGGGTCAATTCCCAGGTCCCCACACCAATAACCAAAAAAGTAGTAAGATTGGAAGTGCAAATTAAATATTTTTGTTTCTTATTTTAATTTTTTGCGTTTGTCCATTTAGCCTGTCTTAAAATTCTAGAAAAGAATTTGAGGCCCTCCACACCTCCAAGATGCTACATGGAGTGTTTGCATTCATGAACAAAGAAGTCCTAAAGAAAAAAGTTGTGTTCATGAAATCACCAAATTAAAAAAAAAAAGTGATGTAATAAAATTTGGCATTCAAATGTTCATGTTCCTTCCGCTTTTTTGTTTCTATTATTGGGGGCCATTCTTGGTAGTGCTCAGGTCTTCTTTCTGGCCCTGTACTCAGTTATCACTCCTGATGGTGCTTGGCAAACCGTATATGTTGCCAGGGGGTTGAGCACTGATCACCCACGTGCAAGACAAGCATCTTACCTGCTACACTAGCCTAAGCTACTTCTCCTTTTCCCTATTTATTGTCGTTTTCTTTTTTGATTCTCTAGAGGTTTCATATAGCAGAATTTTTTTCAGTATTCAGAAGGTTAGATTATAAAGTAGTAAATTTAAACTCTTCTTTTTTATCTGAATAATCTGGTCCATACTGACAATCTATTTTTTGGTGTTCACTAATTATTGTATCTAAAATATTAGAGAATATTTAAACATTATGGAA